GTCTTGATGAAATCCGACGCCGGAGATGTGGTCCAGTGTGCAGGATTGCTTTTTACATGCGTCACAAGCTATAGAACAAATCCCAGACTTAGCAGCCTTGCCAGGTCCTGTCAAGTTTTCACCTCAGGCAATCAACCTATGTGGATCAGTGAACCACCTAGTGACTAGGGTGTCCTGTGGACCAACAACAATTTTTCTGCACTTCCTTCTCTTTGGTGGTAAGTGCTTCTATAGAGTACATCGCTCGAAGGGACGAAAAGAACAGAAGTGATTTCCATATTGTCGACAGCAAACGTAGGCTTATCAGTTTACTAGCTGGTAATTTTGCCTAAGTCCAGCTTCAAACATCTCGAGGTTAGTTTCTGTGTAATTGTCGATCGAGGCTAGTTATTTTGCGACATCAACATCCCTCAATCCCTCTGTATAATAGCCGGACATGTTTCCGAAGACTGAAACTGTACTGTGAATGGTTTCTCCTATGCTGTATCACTGAACAAGCTCCGTTCAATTTATTTTCACTTGTTCTATATATGCTGGCTTAATTTGAAGAAAATGGTTTGACAGCGATTGTAAATGTCTCGTAAATTCTGAGAAAATGAATAATCTGTGCCAAAAATCTGTGAACACATCGAACGACTAACTAATGTGTAAAGTAGCCCGCATTCGTTCCATGTGCATCTAGTTTGGGCCTTATTGGAGGAACTAAAACTTGTTTGTAATATGATACCCACATATATACGCAGATGGTTACATCCATATACATGTCACATATATGCATACAAATTAGTACATTCAGACTTTCAGCTCTGTATATATAAGTAACCGACCAAATGGGAGCAGGAATAGCAGGAGGAAAAAATAGGTTTTGAGAACGGAAAATGGCTAACTGTTGATCTGATAAAATTAAGGAAAACATAGGAAAACTGCGCAAGAGAATAGAAAGAAAAGAATAAAATGTGAAACAATAACAGATATCAACCTGAGAAAAAGCGTTGTTATTTTTTCGTAGTGAGTCAATATTGTTTAAAGGAAAAACTTTGCAAAAATTTAGCAACAGCAAGCCAAGGCTGTCCGATGTTACGCGTACTGGCTCTATGCGATCATTTCCAAGGTCATCTCGCAAGATCAAATTTCGCCATATGAGCAAGGGCATCATTCATGTTTAGAATGATACCCCAAGTGTTCTATACTGCTAGAAACCATTAAATTCTGCTTACTCACTAAATATTAGGAAATATCTGAGGGAATTTCTACTATTGGATGCTTATCCAAACAAAGATGTCTCTATTGCGCATGTACATGAGAAACAATTTCGGAGTCAATAAGTGGAAAGGAAAGAGGAGGAAGTAACAACTTGAGTTGTGAAAGGGCAGAAATAAGGCCTTACGTTAATTGTAACTATCCCCATTAGCTTGAGGTCCATTGTTAATTCTACAATTCGTTCCTACGAGTCCAGATTGCTGCATATTTCCAAAAAAAGTATTAATGCATTGACTTCTCTTAGTTTCTGTTTATTAGCGCTAGTTTTAAGTTCAAAGATACTATTCTTTATATGCTTTTATTACAACGTTACGAACC